GACTATCATGGGACTCGCGATTGGCGAATTGCTAGTGTTACGCCATGCGGCTTACCATAGGTCATATTCTTAACTGTCGATTTCATCCGCCACATGTCGCAGACGGATCGTCGCGGCTGCCCGGCAAACAAACATTGTAGTGGCAAGCGCATGTGCTCATTAAGCAGGGCGACCTCCAGAAACGTCGACTCGTGGCCGTTATTTTACCTCGCGTAAAAAAATGTGGCGTGATCCGAACGTAGTGGGGGTCGCCTTCCAGAAAAAACGGAAAAAATCGAAAGGCGGGCAGAACCTTTCGAGAAGTCGAACCGTCAACAGTCAACACATCTCATATATCGCGCATTACTTATCAACAAAAAAACGCAGTTATATTTTTTGTTCCATTTATGTCTTCCTAGTTAATAAGTTGTTAAAATAAACGTTAATTTATTTGTGTTAATTCTGTGTAATTCATTGAACTACCTTATTATCCTAATTATCCTAATTATCCTTATTATCCTAATCGAAATAAGGGAATCGATCAGTTCGTGGCGTCGATTATTTAATCGTAACGGGAACTTACAACTCTCGTTGACGTGCTATCTCGCGATCGCGTCTCTCCGCGAACGGTCGAAACACTCCGTACTATCGTAAACAGCGAGATTGAGGTTTCCATTCTCGGAAACGAGATAAAAAGAATTTCAAATGACACGCATATTGAATGTCATACGTAACGTGTAACTGAGATATTGGAACGATGTTCTTCCGAAGTTTGAAATCGAAAAGTTAATACTACTCGACACATTATAGTTTAGCCTGAATTATTGTTAGCTATATTTAAAGAAACCAATTAGGCGTTACTACGAGTAATTAGAATATTCGTCTGGTCTGTTCTTTTTGCATAGCAGAGAAATTGCGTTGCGAAAAATGTTGCTAAAAATAAAAATTTAATGTTTGGAGAACTTTATACATTCGTCTATCTGAATTATCAGAGACACTTAAAACACACATTATCGCAAAATTATTTATTCCCGACGGGGTTGTATAATGAGCGCATAACCGTCGTGCAGCAATTACAAAACAATAAACTAACCGTTACAGGACTTGATAAAACGTAAGAATTGGGTATAATTGACGCACAGGGCCCTTTTTCGTAACAAATATTGTCACACTCTTTTGTCGCTCGTTTTATCGTTAACTCTACAGAGACGGACGAAAGAAAATCTGCAAAATAAGAAATATAAGTATAAGGATATCCTCAGACCATACGTATATCGCCGATATTTCAAAGTTTTCAACTAAAAGGATCAATATGTATTGTGAATGCGATATTGTCGTCATTTATCGACAAAATGCATTCCGTTGAAAATCTTGAAATATTTATAATGGAAGCCCATATCTAAAACAAAAATTTTAAAATATTCATAATATTATTGGTTGTCTGTGGGCACTCTAGTAATAAACCGTAATTTTTACCATAAATTATTACCATAAATGAATAAATATAGCGACTGTTACTAATATGGTACTTCTACCATATTCTTACTTTGAATGTAAAGGTAACTGCGATTTACAGTGTGTCAATTTTGAACTTCCTGTCATTCGTCGCTGTATATATTTCATCTGAGGAAAATAAAAGTCACAGAGCTTCAGATTAATCTTTCTACAAATGGCAGAATAACGTCATCTTTACGTGAGAAACGTGTTAAATTGCCATGACGTAGGTACACGTGAGGGTTAAGACAGAACTGCAGGGAACGAAATTTTCTGCGAACAATTTTACGGATAAACGAACATACTTTAACGAGTAATGGTATTTTTAATCGATGCAGCGAAAATGTCTGGATCACGGAAAATCTACAGCATACAAGAAGTACAAACAATTGGTACAGCATCAATGTGTGATACGAAATTCTTAACACGTGCCTTATCGATCCGTATTCCATTTCCCATAACACTTTATATGCTGAAGGAAATCGGTATTTCCTTGAATTCACATTGCCCGATTTGCCACGTGATGTTCCACCAGAGACGCGAAACTGTTTGAAATATTATCAGCTGCATAGAGCTCCGGCTCGCAACGCTCGCACCATAACGAGATATTTAATATCAATCTATGGAGGAAAATGATTTGGCATCCGGATAGCCTTGCCACCACGTTCACGTGACTAAAATCCTCTTGACGGCTTGTGGAGTTTTTTTTATTAAAACAGACTGTATACAGAACCGTTTATTTCCGTTGGTGGCATGAAAAAACGAATCAAAAGGGACTGTTTAATTGTGTGTGTTGGATAAATGTAAGAAAACGAGTGAGAGAATATTTAGAATGCAATGGTGGAAGCATTTGTAGTAGATTTCAATTCGAAAATCAATTACATGTTTTGAAAAGTATTGAATTTTTCATGGTTTTCATACTTTTGAGTTGTGAATGGCACGGTGAATCAACTAATGCGAACAAAATTGCAGAGTTCCATTGAAAAAGGAAGTGCAATTGTGTTCAACAACTGTCTTAATGCACTTCTGTAAAAATCGCACTGCACGATGATAGAGCTTGATGAACAATGCAAAATTTTCCCTCACAATTTCTTTCTATCTGCAATAGGAAGAATTTGGCCCCATTATTTACTAGACTCAGCCTATATAAAATAAAGCTTTCCATAATTGGTTAGTCGTACTTTCACTCTCGTCTTTGTTAGCACTGTTATAACTCGAATATCGGCTTCAAGTGCCAAATAGAAATTGCCAATTTAATCCAGACGTATTGTAGCCCGGTGCTGCACGGCACGAAACTGTACGAAGCTAACGAATCCACGCATATTCCATCCTTTAAAAAAAGATTCATTTTCATGTCGTTTCACAGCATGCGAACAGTGTGTGTGCACACTGACAATGAACATAAACGCGTAGTTTCCTTTAATAGAATATATCGACATTCGTCAAACGCATCCGATAAATGTTAACACGTCATAACTAATCAGATAATTAATCTATGTACGTATACAGGATGCGAGCGAATTACGTGTACAAGCGGGCGCGAAGTGATTCCTTATGAAGAAATAAGAACAAGATATGGAATGAAATTTGTTCATTTGAGGCTTAGTTTACGAGAAAATCGAGTTTGAAAATTTGAAATGACACGAACTTATGGATTATTGTAGAGAATGAGCGATATGTATGTACCAATTGAGCCTCGATAATTCGAACCTCTATAAGATTCGCTCTGTCGCGAAGATTTCTATAAGTCGAAATGAGATTTACGTCAACTCGAATTATTTGCCACTTAGTTCATATACCTCTGTAATTTTACCTCTGTAACTCGAGTTTAGAATAGCCAGAGTTTTACGAGTCGAAGTTTGCTTCTATAAATCGAACTTCTCATCGTCGCTGTCTCAGCAACTCGTGAGCGTATAGCTATATGTGGCGATAGGATGGGAAAGAAATAAGAAGAAGAAAACAATTTGAATCGCTTCGAATCAGCTCGAACAGAATTCGAAGCTTGAAACTCTTGAAAGCTTTGATTCAGTCTGAAATGTTGATGGGTTTTGAGTCTTTATAAAGTATTCTGAGTCTTGCCTAACTTGGAAATCTTGCTCGTGCTCCGTCGTCGAAATGATGATCGACGAGTTCTTTGAACCACTTCATGTTTGTCTGTGTTTCAATAAGATAAGTAGCGTAAAGCCTCCACTAACAAAATTCCTCAAACATTGTTTTCACTCTTGAATTCTCAAGCCAAGAGTATCGAATATCCCGCGTTACGATTTCCAACACGATCAAGACTCAAGAGACTTAAAGTTCAAAGACTCGATACCTGTATTAATATTCAGGACTGATCGAAACTTTCAAGAGTTTTAAGATCCGAATCAGGTTCGAAGTGACTCGAATTTGTCGCCACATATACAGATTCGAAGTCATTCGAAGTGTTTCAGATCCTGCTATTAGTTTTGTGTCGCAAAATGTTAGAAATCATTCTTGCGATATTGTCTTCTTTCTTTCAACGATCATGACTGTTTCGATAAAAGAAAAGGCATAAAACGCCACAAGCCGTATGTATATCTATCAAGTCGCTCACAATCTAACAGTTCTTCGTTAGTCGAACGCATAATTGCTATCATCCCACGCGGGATGAGTTGTTATTCAACTTTTACGTTGAATAACATGAATTCTAAGAGGAAGTTTTAAATACCTAAAGTTGCAATATTTTCTGGAAAAAGTAATGTAACCGAAGATTTGTACAAAATTTCTGTATGTCGAATTCTCGTTAGTTAAAGCTCTTTTGTTTGATAACTTCGTTAAATGGAAACCTATATATAACTGGGAACTCTTAGCTCTTCCCTTAAGGCTCGAATTACCAATGTTCGATTGTGCTGAAATGAGGATCACTTACCAAGTACGATCCATATGACGATGACGTTGCCACCGGTTGCCACCAACAGCATTGCAGCGAATATCAGGGACCAGAACAGCTTTTGCCACCATGATAAGTCAAACGGCCGCTCTTGATAATTAAGGAAACAATCTAAAAAAGCATCACGTAGAACTTCCTGTTCCGTAGAACTATCCAAAGCGTTTTCCAATATATTAAGAAGTTCGCTACGATTTAACATCAACAAGATCGTGATGTTTCGTCTGAGAATTATAGTACTGCAGTTGTACAAGCCATACGAAAACAAGTTGTCCATATTTTGAGCCTGACAAAAACCAGCACTTTTTAAAAACGACAACAGTATCCAGGTGCGAACAATTTGGGTGAAATTCTCTCGTCTTTTCACGTGAATCTCCGTTGCACGTAATTTACGTTGTCTTTTCCCTTTTCAAACCGTTGCATCGTTAAATCTACGTATTAACTAATCGTTACCGGTAACAATTCAGAACATCTTCTCTTAGTGTATTGCATAGGATGGTTGCAAAGTTTGTTCAAGAACTCATCTTTGTTGGCGAACTTCTTTTATCAGTTCCACTTTTATACGGCTTTCTCTCGAAAATAATGCGCCGCTGTTTCTGAAAAGATTATGTACGAGCTAATAAGTTTGCGGTTTCAGAGTGACAAATGACGACAACAGGCAGAAAAAGATGTACGCAATAGAAACAAGTGTGTTGAGACACTATCGCTGAAAAGTATATGGACACTTGGTTTCTTCTTAATACGATGTGATTTAATTACACAAACGGAGGCAAAAAGACTCAAAGCGATTTTATAATTTATTAGACCAGCGAATATAGGCCTATGAGGATACGATAAAATTTACTTTGAAAAAATAATATACAAGAAAGGAATTGGAATCCGTAAATGTCAAACATTATATCAGTTTTGTCATTTTGTCATTTGTGGTTCATTACTTTCAGCTCGTTAAGTTGTCTACGTATAAATAAAATGTTGAATATACCAGTGCAAATACCAGTGAGAATAAACCAGAATAAATTAACACTTCATACGATTTTCATCACTGGTTTGCTATTAATTCATATATTTTACTAATATTCATGTATCGTTGATACGAATCGAGCAAATTATCCACCACGTACATATGAGTGATTGCACGCATTTGTTATCCTTGAGAATCTTCGCCCTTTCATTTATATAGAATGACAATAAATAATAAATTATCTGTGAAATGATTCGTTCTAATATTATTACGATTTTTGTTAATGTAATACGATAACTAGCGAATCAATTAGTAACCAACGGTTAATAATTAACAATTTAGAAATGAACATACATTTTAACCAAATAAACTTTGAAATAAATAATTTTACTTCAATAATTAATTAAAAACAAATGAAGAAAACTTGAAACTATTACAAATTATTATATTTGTTCTACTTTTAATATTTCATTCGGATCCATTTATGCATCAGAGTTGTGTTAATAATCATGACAATTACAGCTACACTAATTTCAAAACCTCATTTTAATAATGGTAAGATTCTTTCGATCAACACGATCACCAGTTTTCGCAAAAATCGGAGCATCATAATGAAGGGTTGTGATATTGTTTAATAAAATAATAATAATAATAACAAAATATCGTATTACTGTGCAAATGTAGAAATATAAGCGCCAATTAAAAGCGAACTTAATTATAATACAAAGGTAACACGATATTTATTCCAACAAGGTTCCACTCGTTTTTTTCCATTTGCGCAAGAATAGTTGAAATTCGTTCAATTAACGCGATCTTTTTTCAAATTACACACAGAGGCGTGAAATCATTTATTGGCGATGCTATTTAATCTCCCGCTTCTATTTTGTAATTATTATCGTCGATCAATGTTGGGCAAAGCTTCATTTACTCATGAAACGATAAATAACGAATTGAAATAACATTTCAGTCGCGAGTAAGAATTAAATCTTCTATTTAAATAAAAGTCATTTAAACGATGCCAAAAATAATTTATTTCTTATTTCTTATTTGCAAGTTTTATTTTTCATTTGAATTTAATTGGAGAGCAAATGATATTATGTAAATAAATAGATTTTCGCTTTCTCTTGTCCGTTTGATTTTGCGAATGAAACAACCGTGAGATTAATAAGATTATTTTTCAATAAATAAATCGCAGATCAAACCTCCTTTTATAACTACTCGCTTTTCCAACAAATTGTTCGAAAGTATATCCATCATATTTCGAGGTTTCGCCGGGTTTAACATAGCTGACAAACATTATTAAAAGTTACAAATTCCAATGTACAGGAATCTCCCTGATGGAAATGTTTGTGTAAAAATTCGAATTTGTTCGACGATCGATAAATAACGAATAAAAGTAAATAAAGATAATAAATGAAAAATAAAATTGTATTTGAAAAGGACAATTAATTTCATTATTTTAAATAATATATTAATATAACAAATAATTTATTTCTATTTTTTATTTGAAGTCCCAACTAACAACTGACCCTCTGTTTAGATAATTATTTAAATGAAAATTTATTTAATAATGCCCGACATGGTTGTCCATAGGCCCGATTCACATTCTCACCACAAAAAACGCGTCTATCAGCCTAACAATGCGAGACTGCGATAACCGTGCATACCCAAGAACTGCATTGGAGCAACTGAAGCTTCAAAATCGCGTTCATTCAAAGATGCGTGCGCAATGACTTGCGCCTTCGCGTCTTCTACTGATAGCTTTTTTGTTACTGTTCATCTACATCGTTCATTTACTTGTATTACAGGCCCTGGTGTCGGTTGATAAACTAGCAAATTGTTATCGAATATCGGGAAGTTCATCAATTTTCGCGCCTCACGATTACACGTGAGAGACGACGATTGCTGATAAACAATATAAACAGCTAAACAGTATAAGAAGCTAATAAATAGATTCTCGATATGTTTTCTACCACTATACGATTTAAAAAATTACATCGGAGGTATTAAACGAACCTCCTCTTTTAAACGAACATTAATCGATATTGCGATATTTTATATTTTACAAATATGCGATCTTCGTAAGGTAGACTCGTTAGTAATGCTTGTAAAACAAGCCATCGCTGCACCATTTTTTTCCAAAGTAGATCTGAGTTTCCTTTTACATGGTAGTATTTCTTTTACACGAATCACAGTTACGCGACTTTTCTGAACATATTTTATTCACAGTTCAAAATATTCGAGTGTCAATTTTTGTCGAGTCATCCTCTATGTATACTATTTCGCAGATTTGATTAAACCAACAAATCGCCGGACTATTCTTAGGGATGAATAGAAAAAAAAACATATCATCCGTGTCAATGGTAATTGGTCGATTCATTCGTCTCCGGTATCGAGGAATGGACCGATAAGATAATATTTTTCGATGTTTACGTTTTGCGGAATATTTCAGTGGTAACACTAACGCGATCGCTTATCATAGATATGATAGATGTAATGCGTTCACTTAGGTAATGATATCGTATCGTCTTCGACACCGTTCGCTATTTAACACTAGAACTACCGATAGTTAACACGAAGCTATTTCTACCAAAACTAGTGAAAATGACTGGTCTTAAAAAAATACCTAATAATAGGATATTTTTATATTTATTGATTTATTACTTTACTTTCTTACAGAAGCAATCCCATGTTATGTAGTATATTTTTGGTATTATTAACCCATCTGGGACCACATCCTAAGATCCTTTATCACTCCATAATATTTCCAAGTGCTAATCGACGTTACGAGGAATCTAATTCAAAACTCGCAATGTGGCTATCACCTATCGCTTTAGATTTTCTGTTATGAGGATACTTAGGTGGAATCAGGAGCGTAGATATTTAAATCGAAAACTCCATAACATGACCAATTATCATCGAACGGTGGTCCAACGGTTGTTATTTAAAAATGTAATAAAATAATAAATAGTGTATTAGAATAATAATATAAGATCATTCCACAGAAGAAGAAAATGTCTATAACATAGAAGAAAAATAGTTTACGTATTACTCTAAATACAAAAATGATTTCAAACTCGATAAAAACATAATATATTCAGATGGAAGAAGAAACGACACAAAAAATATTAAACAAATCCTTGGAATTCTTTTTCGCAGTCATTAGACTGCGATTATTTGTACAAGTTTGTATTTTTATCGATGTAGCTAAAAACTGAGATTTATATAGAGATTCGTCCCATCTACTAAATATTATAACGAGCAATTTATTGTAAATATTTTATGTATGTTTGCATGTCATGTGCACGGACTGTATATTTTTACATTTTCATGTTTCCTGTGGATGCATAAATATCCACAGTCTAACAATCGCAATGTTAACAAAGAGGAATTTAAATTAATTGAATAAAAGGTTATAAAATGAAATATTTCATTGATTCAACGCTGGCTCAATGAATTAATCAAGAAAATCTCATCCGTTCATTATGATGCGCCTTATTGAATGAAAATAAACAAATTATTCATATTTCAGGTTTATCAACAGAATCTATCGTTTACTGACTTTTAAAGCAAGTCGTTCAATTAAAATCATTCGTTATATTAAATGCACAGATACGCTTGTATTAGATAAATGAGAAACTTCGAATGAAACGATTAATATTTCCACTTAATTAAAATTTGATTTACACGAGCGACTCTGAACGATTAGAATCTTGCTCTATTTACTTCATATAAAAACCTTGTTTCAGTAATTCATTAGCATAAATGACGAAAGGTTTCACTTCATTACGATGTTATCTACGATTCGTATCGGCAGTGATTCAATTAAAATAATCTCGATTAAAACGAAATAATAGTAGCGAAGTAGTGGTCGAGGAAAATGAGAAAAATGTTTACGGCTGAGTAATTCGAAAACTAAAAGTTTCTCTAAATTGCTTGCACTATTCGAAAGAACAAACGTAAGCTTCTTGTACACAGTTTCTCGTTAAAATTTAACAATACTTCCTCTTAGTACCGCAATTTTTATTTTTTTTTATTTTTTTTAGACTTCTGGAATTCTTTTCACACGGTACATTTTCTACGCGATATTTTTTAACGTGTGCTATTAACTTTAAACGATTTATTTTACACGTTTTGGTCTTATAGTTGCACGATTTTTTAACACGTTTTTACATTTCACTGGAAATAATATCAACCTCGAAGGTTTTACAGGATTTCACAGGGAACTGAGAACTCGTATGGTTTGTTATGAAGAATAATGAAAACAGAAAACAGAACATATGTCGCGAAACGATTAGACGAAGGATATTTCGAGCGACGAAATGATATTTTTCCATAGAGAATAAAATTTTGATTTCAGAAATAAATATCTTTTTTTTTTTGTTTTTCTTAACACATTACCTTTTGCTGCGTGTGTTTATTGAATAAAGTTTTGTTATCGAATGCAGATATATATTTTGAACTGTTTCTCCTATTATTTGCGTTAGTTTAACACGAGTTGTGATTGTTTCACGATGTTTCTTATACAGTACACAAAGAGTTCCACGTGTATATGTATATTTATGAAAGTCAAAAGAATGCATAAAAATTATATTGAAGAGATAAAAAGTACGCGAAGTTATACATATATTATCAAGAAGCTTGACTTTTTCATTCTAGGTTTGTCATGAGTGTAGCATTCAGACCCTTTGTAATTATTTTTGCTATACATATTCTAACTTAGATCTTTTCCAAAACACAATTAAATTTTTCTCTAACTGTTTCACCTACTAAATCGGATATGCTATTTACGTTTTTATTTCAACAATTACTTCTCTCGACCCAGTTGAAGACACTTTTTCATTTTCTACTTCTTTCATATTGAGTTAAATAATTGCGAAACATATGAGCCTTATGAAAAATCTGAACATTATTTTCGTTCACAAAGTGTAAACATTACGTGTGGAATTTTTCACTTAAAAAATTTCCTTTACAAACCTAATTGACACCGATATTTCTTCAAACGACTTTGATACCTAGTTTAGGAATAATATCATATTCATAGTTGGTAGATAAAAATTTAGCGCTCTGATTGAAGTTAAGAATAATAAATAGATAAATATTAGTCTGACAGTTCTTGAATGGGTGCACTATGTGTTGACTGAATAATTGTTATAGTATAAAAATATCATGAATCATAATTTTGCAAGATATTAGAAAGATAAATTTGTCTTAATATACTTATTTATCTCTTATATGTTAACAGTCACTGGATCAAATTTTCTCGGATAAACGAAGAATTCGAGGTTTCTTTCTGCACTTTAATAGCAGCCGACGCATCATAAACTCACGAAGTTACCAGCCCTATGCCAGTAACTGGTACAGTTACTTTGAGTTTTCCTTAATTTAAGTAACCTGTAAATAAGTATGTAAAAACTTTGTTCCAATATCCAGACAACGAAATTTTTGTGAGTGTTGCCAATGTTTAAGAAATTAACGTACCTTTATACATATTTTCATACAACTAGACAAATTTAATACTATGAAAGTGAAATCTAAAACCTGATGACAAAACGCTTCATTGGAAGATCAGGATATGTATAAATATTTCTTGCAGCCAATTTCTTTCTGTACATTGTGTACTTTGATATTAAATTGAAGTCGATTGCTTATAATTTAAAAAATAAGCCTTGACCCACATTTTTGTTCTGGCTTAATTTTATGGTGGGTTACAAATACAAAATTCGTAAGAACGCATCTTTTAATGCAAGATATATTTATAAATAATGACAGAATGTTACTATCATATTATAGAAAGATGTTTTTGACTTCTCTCGGATAAAAATAATTTTCTGGATCGACGTGTTCTAATCCTACTTCGATGGATCACTTGGCAGAAGAACGCACGAGTTGGCAGGCAACGTATTCATCTGCCATAGAACCCACAACTACGGAACCAACTGCGCCGCAGGCCGTTGCAGAAAGTGGGCCACAGCTAGCATCAATTGTCACACCCGTTTGTAAACCACCAAGTGCACCAACGCCTCCAGCAACTCCTATCTCACTAATAGGACCGACTTCGTGCATGAATGTTAATACGAGAACTGGCCTGTAAATATAGAATTCATTTCTATGCTAACGTTAAAAATATTTTTTCCATTCTCACAAGTAATCTTACCTTCTGGTTCCCCTTGTCTACAGATACTATGACTGACGATTAAAATTCTGGCAACCGCTTTTGCCTCCAAATGCTCATCGATTCTATCAGTGTTAGATATTTGGATATGCCATGTTCAACCTTTAAAAATCCTGTTAAAGCTCTAATATTAAAAATTTACAAAACATCTTTTTGGCTTAAGACCTTATGAAAAAAGATTATGCTTGTGCCAGAGTCTTTTTATTGACATTTGTGATCGAAAAGCAAAACAGTATTTAAAATAGGAGACACCTCACTGATTTCGATGAGATAAAAATACGCTTAGAGAAAAGTATTTTTCTTTTTTTGCTATGTATCTATCGTGTTACAGATTATGTTGTAATCAGTTAGCTTGTATCGAATCGCAAGATCTAAGATCGAAGAAAATATTACGTATTGCGCTTATCTTGCCTTTTTTTTCACTAAATAACTTTATACCAACATTAGAATTTCCTCTAAATGCTCGTATGTTTGTTTAAAAAAGATTTTTTATCAGGAATGGAATCTCGAAGGAATTTTTGGCCAATTTAGTAAATAATGTCATCAAACAACTAATAGACACTTTTCAAAAACGAAACTGAGTTTTTATTTGTTGCGTTTGTAAAAGCATAATAGGGTTATTTCAATTTTAAATAGAATTCGTTTTCTTTCAACAACATTTTTCCGATATTAATCGAATTTTTAATTCATAACGCCAATCACTACAACTGTCCTGCAAATCACTGTATCTCGCAAACACACATATTCGCTTCTACATATACTCAGATTGTCTATTGTCAGATAAGATAAGAAGAGTCGAATAAAGTCATATACTATGTATTCTTCTCTAGTTGACAGTTCAGTATTTTGTAGCGATTCGATTGTATTTTATAATATAAGGTATAATATTTGTGGTCTTAATTTCCAAGGTACCATCATTATCTTATTCGTAAGTACAACATGTTCCTTTAAGCACCTGAATGTTTATTTCCAATATCATTAACTATGATGCATGCTTCCTCAAGTTTATTGTGTGAAAAATTGAAGTGGAAGTAATTGTAAGAAATGTACGTTTTGCAAAATAGTTCATACGATGAAAAGTTAACTACTCTCCGATTGTAATGATTTTTGAATATGTTGTAGAAATCGATATTTTAAATAACTTTTTCTTATATGCATACAAAGTGGTATCGCTTAATTTCCATGATATTCGCGAAAAACTGCCAGTACTATTTTAAACAATTTCTTCTTTTCATAATTTTTTTGCATAAGAACTTAAAGCAAAAAAATGTTTTGTGGCTTTCAAATATTCGAACCTCAATGTGATTCTCATTTTCCACTTTTAGATCATAGCGTGGGCATAAAGTTTAAGTGCAGGGTATCAAAATATCCAACACTGATACAATTGTCGAGCATTTGGACGCAAAAGGGGTTGTGGGAATTCAAAATATGAGTCCGATTCACAATAGGCGAAGGGCACGAGGAGGTAAAATTATACACGAGAATGGAAATATTTGTAACTTTAGCGTAGAAATAGCGATTTTTCTGTTTACGAGCTAATTCTCGTACTAATATTGACACATAAGGTTTACCCGGTGCATGGAACCCCTATACAGATAGGATCAACTACAGTTTGGAACACTCGGGTACTACACTAAGAGTAGTTAGTGTATCAGACTCTATATTCTGTACAGTTTCCTCTTTCGACGATGGTATATGCATTGAAAGTCACGCAAGCGAGAAAGTCAATGAGATAAAGGATGCCATCGATAAACTGAAAGAATGCCGTAAGGCTGAAAGCGATCCCGAGGAGAAGCGACGTATTAAGGACACGATCAAATATCTTAAGAAAGTTTTGAGGGATGTAGGACATGCAAAAAGAGTAGGGAAGACTGTTGGTTCACACGTTGGTTCAAAAGCTGGTGCTGCGGTTGGTACCTGCATAGCTGGTCCAGTTGGCACAGTGGCTGGCTCTGTAATTGGTAGAATAGTGGGTCGTGTTACAGGTGCACTCGCTGCCGATGATCTTGCGCGTCATACTCGAGAAGAATCAGCTGGAACGACAGTAAAACGCCTTTATTAAGAAAATCATTATTTATCTGTGCGAGATTAAAGTGATTTTTTTATAATATGATAATAATATTTTATTGTTATATATAAATATACCTTTCATTACAAAGTGTATTCTTGCAGATTTTTTACTTATAAATCATTATAAAATTAAACCAAAGAGTAAGCAATATAAGTTGTTGGAAGCTATTGCTTTTCCGTTGAATTTTTCAACATCGTTATCTACTTTTTCGTTCATTTCCTTGTAACACAGTATGACGTAGACATTTTTCATTTTTAAACAGAAATTTGAATCTTATCGCTTTTGTCGTTTGCATCTCCATCCGTATTTTATTCAAAATAAATTGACCCTTCTATCATCACTGTACTAATTATACATCCACCGGTTCCCTTTTGCTTGTAATGGGGTGTTAAAGAATTCATGGGACGATTTTTGGAAAATGTATATATTCTGAACACCGAAACGAACATTAGAATAGATGTGCAAAACTGTTAGTTGATGGGCAGAATCTATTTTTTAATATTTAGACGAGAGAAAGACAATGAACGTTAAGTTTCAATTATTAGATTAATTGTTTTAGAAATGTCAGCAGTCGGCCCGTATTCAAATTGGAAAATATTACAAATATAACAGATCCTGGACGAAATCACCGTTCCAATCAGTTGTATCATGATACGGTTGAAACATATTGCAAATATAGAATTTTATTACTTTATTTCCAGGACGTCGTTCTAGTCTTTGTAATTTCATTTATTAGGTTGTCCGAAAAGATTCTTTCGTTTTATGAGGAAATAATAGACACACAACGTTTTTTATTTTATAATATTTTGTCGAATTACTTACGATCCATTTTGTTCTGTTGAGATAGACACCGCGTCATTTCACAAACTTGGTTTCACGTTTGTATGAAGGTGCACTGTTGTAAAAAACACGTTTGCGAAAGGAAGACACTTTTCGGACAACCTAATAGTTTCAATTCAAAATTCGAATTAGTACTATACTGAGTCGATAACATCGCATGCGAGATTTTGTCCGCTTGGGTCAGCACTTGTACGGGGAGATAAGTAACCTACTGCCATTGGCGCTACTCTCATTTCCTTTCCGTTAATTTCTATTGTGTCCTTACATTGTATTAATACAAATATAAAATGAAAATTAAAAAGAAATCTAATTCAGTGAGAGTTCCACCTCTCAAAAAAGCTATAAAAGTTAAACGTAAATCATCAGATATAGAAGAGGAATCAACTGTATCTAAAGCGATAGAGAATGTTAAAAAAGTGTTGGAGGTTAGTACGCATTTAAACATAATCTGCATGCTGTGATATTTAATTGCAAAAAAATTGAATAAGATTTTAAATTGAAAAAATTTGTCTTATTCCAGAAGAAAAATGTTAAAGCAACAAATATTCCAAAAATTGTTTCGTCTCCAAAACCTGAAAAATCGCACAAAGTTATTAAAGTCAGGAAGAGAAAAATAAGGCCTCAAATGAGATATCAAAGAGGTATAGTGTATTTAGGTCATATACCTCATGGTTTTTACGAAGAACAAATGACAGAGTATTTTACACAATTTGGTAAAGTAACTAGAGTGCGAGTTGTTCGATCGAGAAATGTAAGTATACATGAATTGGAATTATACATAATATAAATATGTATATAAATGATATAAAATTTCAACTACCTATTTTACAAGTTTGATTACCATTATAATATTATTTGTACTGGTTTGAGTATGAATATGCTTTCTTAGAATACCAATATATGTCCTACATAATATAAGAGATAGATTCTTCCTGTAATGATTAATCTGACTTATACTAATTAAATGTGTATTATTGATGTACCCTTAGTTAGTCGTTTTAGTAGTTGCCATTAATATTTGCAATAATAATTAACAACATATAATATAAAATAAGGTACGCTTAAAAATTAAGTACATAATATCATAGTATATATTATTTCTAGACTGGTAGAAGTCGTGGCTATGGATACGTGGAATTCATGTACCCTGAAGTTGCAAAAGTAGCTGCAGAAACAATGAATAACTATCTTATGTATGGAAGATTATTAAAAGGTATTATACAAAAATGTACAACAATTATTAAGTGAATGCTTCAATTTTATCATGTAATATATCATGTAATGTTTTTAATTAGCTACGTATATTCCACCTGAGAAACAACATAATGGATTTTTTGCTGGTAAAACATGGACAACAAAAATTTATCCTAAAGTAATAAACAGAAATAAAGTTACTAAAATAAGAAATGGAGGTGTCCAAAACCAGAGGCATGTAAGTTTTGAACAAAGTACAAGACATAAACTATCTGCTTTAGAAAAGAAATTGAAAGAAAAGGGTTTTGATATGAATTTTGTACCAATAGATTCTTCTAAATAATGTAAAGTAAATTTTTTATTAAACACAATAATGTACAAATGTTATAATTAAGTACTATAGAGATATTGAACACTTTTTTGATTACATGAGTTTACTTAATTTACTATTTACATTGGACATTGTATACGATGTTTAAAATTAAAGAAATAATTATCAGGGATCATCAAAATTTTTCTGATCCGCTTCCTAATCCTGCTTTTGTTCTCTTCCACTTCATACGTCTATTTTGAAACCATACCTTTACCTAAAAAATTAGGAACATATTACATTATTTATTACGTACACAACTATATCTTCTTCAAATGATAATCCATGATATATTATTAATTATAACATGACAAAACATAACAATAGAATTTTACTTAACAAAGTTAACTAATCATGTCTATAATTAAAATACTGTTCCTGTAATATTGTTTTATTTACTTATAATTAGTTGGTATGAAATGAAACTTTCTATTTTTCAAATATTATATCTTATCGATACATTTGATTCAATAGTTCATCATTTGAACAAATAGTTTAAACCAAATATAAATTTACATGTGTAATATTTTTTCTATATGGGATAACGTATATACAATCGCCTCAGAAAACAAGTTAATAATCTTGCATTTAATCGAAATGGTAAAATACAACTCCAAATATTTTTATATTTAGAATTAATAATAATTTGTTATAAAAAATTGAGAATGATGTATCTTTCACGTATTTCATATCATTTTACTGCGTTTAATATACATATAAATTATTTTTATATAACATGGGACAAGCTATAATCCGGAAGTAGTATAGAATAGGAAAAAAATTCATGAGGTAAAATTAAATAGTTTTGAATATTGCATGACGTGCTTTAAGACTTAGAAGCTTACTATTATTTTTTTCAATCATATATTTGAATCATACATTTCTTCTATGCATACAATTGCTTCTTTATTTTCTATGAGAAGATATTGACTTGCTTGTGTTTTAAAAAATTAGTTTAAAAGATATTTTATTTTCAATTTCGTAGAACTTATCGTATGAAAGATAGGGAAAGACAAAATGTAATGAGTTCTATGAAATTAAGATTATATCTTTCAATGGAATCACTTCTGGATCTAAGTATTTTTCAATGCTATTTTCTAGAGAATAACAAAATAATAAACGATATGAAAAATATATTAAAATTTTAAAAGACAGAGGTAATTTTAAAATCTTTAAAACACAAAACATCTTTTCCTGCCCTCTGTCGTTTTAGAGCTACGACTTGTTTCAATTGTGTGAAACATTCCCTACAATCGATCGTCCTAGCAGATCTTAAAAACAAATCAAACTATTAAAGGGTTAACGAAGTTGAAAATTATCGGCATTGCAATATCAATTTACCTGACGTTCTGTTAGATCGAGAGCAACTGCTATTTCATAGCGACGTAAACGTGTCAGATAATTACTATGGGCAAATTCATATTCAAGGTGGCGGATTTGGTGTTTTGTAAATGCAGTCCTTTCTTTGCGAGGTCTGTCGCTGGTCAATCGTTTATTTGTCTCTGAAACGTAAAGAATTCAGATTTTAATAAATTTAATAAGTTAACGAAGTTACGACTTTTAACACAATAGAAATAGTATTTTTAAAAATTGAAAACTAAAATATCATCTTACATTATATGAAACGTAAGAATTTCGCGTATATCAAAATTCAATAAAAAAAAATTATAAATTTTTAAGGATATAGTAGCTCTTTCTTATCAAAATTTACATAACCAAATTCTAGAATAAGCTGATGCTGAGAACTATTACTTGCCTACTGTAGCTTCTTATAGAGAAGAAATAAATTCAGATTTATAAATGTTGTATAAATCAATGAATGCATATACAAAATCTTGATTTATAGTAAAATTCGTTAAATCCATCATTAATACAACATAGCGTGATAACTTCATGAAATTGTTTTTTTTCTAAAATTGCAAGTTTATATATGATTAAATATTTTATATTGTCTTGTTCCATAAAGAACTTTATCTCATATGTTTATTTATACTAATAAAAAATATGGGTTTTAAAATAATAATCCATTATCCTATGATATTAGGGTATTTATTTATTGTAGTTTTATGCTTCAGTCTCGGAAGAAATGGGAATCTATTAAATAATTCCATCTCGAATAAAAATGTGAATATGAATCTATGTATTTTGACGCATATCCGAAAATTAATTTGCTAACTAGTATCTGCTAACGTGATTTCAAATGGCTTTCGCGAAATTTGGCGGATGAAAATTCAGTTCAGTGACGATTTCCTATATCCTCTAGCGTTATACGTGACGATATAATCGTAGCGAGGTTTTAACCGGTATCAGTTTTTTATTCACAAAGCGGCAGTCAGATGAAAATAGCTGCATATTCGATGCGTCATTACCAAGCTGCTCCCGCGTGCCAGTTAATAAACGTGCCGCTATAATGTGGGTTGTTGGAATCAGGATCATCTGCGGGCGATGATGTATAAAACGTGGTCGGATCGGTGGTAGAGCCCTTAGCCTTGCTTCCGTACCGCTATCTCATCTATATTTGTTAACTGACGTCAATCGAACCAGTCCGCAAAGTTTTGCGAATAATTTCATTCTTTATTAATTAAACGAATTCACTGACGTCACATATATGTTGAGAATTGAATTTTTAATGAAATGCTAATATCTCAATATTATTTTTATTCCAATTTCAATTAAATCAATTTTA